CAGGTTGTGTGAGTTTTCAATACGGCCTTTCTAACTGTCATACATTTAGATATTTTTAAGACTGAATTTCATTTTCCAAGGCAGGGATAACTCATAACAATTGTTGAATAATAGCTGGAGCCCAGGCACAGTTGTATCAAAATTCCAAATCAAACAGCGTTGATAACGGATAATTTCCATAGCAGAAACCGTCAAAAAGTATGTTAAAATGAATAAGAGATCAAATACTACCCTGTCCTGTCCCACGGGAGATTTTAAAACTCATACTATGTTAACCACTCCACCAAACGGATGCACTTAAACATGTAAACAGTTCATATAGTTAGAACCAATGTGAGTCAGAGAGAGCGTTAATCAGTTTATAAAATAATCCGTCGTGTCAAATCATATTGAAACATTTCTTCGCGTCAAGCCCGCCATCTTTCACAAGACATATAACGTCGTTTAAAGCTGCCTGCGACGTTCGTTCCTCTTCCTTCCTTAAACCCAAATTAGGTGCCTGGTATCAAGACAATTCCCCCCCGGACGATTCCCCCCTCGAAAGAATATATATTTATATACAAAATATAAAGTAAAGAGTACAAAGTTCAAATCTTTTCATCCATTTTATGAATATTTCTCAGTTTGATGATGCAACGCGAGGATAGATAATATTCATTAAATACAGAACATTTTATTAAAAATCTGATCAAAGTACATCTCTAGTTAAGGTGGGGTAAACAAAAGATCTCACTCATCCAGGTGACCCTTTGATACATTAACTGTTACCTTTTTAAAAGTTAAATTAAAATTGTTAATTACTTCCCCCCCCCCTTGATTAAGTGTTGAATCAAGGCGCATCTCTAGGGAGAGGTGGGGAAAACAGATTTTCTCTCTTATCCAGGTATCCCTTTGATTATTTGTCACTTTTACTGTAATTGCTTGACCACTACCCAGCTACTCACTACCCACCACAATAAAATATTCATAAAATATCTGTTTACCTGTTTATCTGTTTACCCAACCTTTACCTGATGGATAGGTGGTTATACTTTGATTAGATGTTTAATAAAACTTTCTGTACTAGTACTAAATGAAAAAGGAATTTGTTATAAAATAATTTGTTTCATGATGACGTTGCATTATCACACTAAATATATTAATAAAATGGATGAAATGTTTTAAACTTTAAATTTTTTTCATTATATTTGTGTATAAATAGATATATCTTGGGGGGAATCGTTCAGGGGGGGGATTGTCCTGGGGGGAATTGTCCGGGAGGGGGGGAATTGTTGGGGGGGAATAGTCCGGGGGGATTGTCGGGGGGGGGGGGGG